TTGAGTTTCTTTGTTTTATTGCATTGATTTAAAATTCTACAGTTCTAACACAGACAACAAACAGGGGTTGTCTTCTGTAGTCTGACTGGCTGAATGACATGTAATAAGGGGAAGAATTGAGGTGTCATGATTTGAAAAAAGTCCCCTGTTATGCTGAGAAAGGTGCCACAGCACTTTATCAGTGATGTGGGAAAAAAAGTCATTAGGGAGTCTGTAATGAATGGCTGACAGCTGTCTTTCAAAAGTTTGCAGACCCATTTTAGCTTTCATTCATTTTCTCCATGATTGCCTTTCTCATTGGCAAGTCACAGCCTGGCTGCCTTGTCTTTATTAACAAAATACAGGATTTGACTAAAGTAATGAAGATTACATTATAAGAACTAGCCCTGTGTTGACTTGATTAATGTATAATAAATATGTGTTTTTTTTGTGAGTTCCATACAATAATCACTGGAGTCTAATTTTGACTTATTTTACAGATACTTTGTGGGGTGTCATCTCTCTTTAACTTAACACTAATGTTCTGTTTGGGTTCTGGAGGCCCCAGGCCCTCTTTAACATATTAATGCTCCAAAACATACTTTGTATTGTTTTATTGCCTTGATACTTTTCCTAATTTTATGAGAATTGCATATAAACATGATTCTAAAGTGATGAGTTTAGAAGTCTGCTATAGAAAATGAAGCATTACTTCTGTTTGGCCTCTTTGAGACCCCCGCTCTAAAACATGGCTAAATACAATGGATTTTCATACTCTGTATATTTTACCCAGCCACTGCTCCTCCTAAATCCTAAATTAATTTGAATTTGTCTTTGTCTGAATTTGTCCACAATACAAGTACATTATGTACCATAACATGTATATTACTCATCCTCATATATTATATGAAACTATTAAATAGTTCCTTATTTGGTGTAATAACAATGATTCATGGTAACAACAAGAAAAGATGCCCATGCAGACATCTAAACTACTTTTTGTAGGTTTAAAAGAGTTTGTTTTACAAAAACACTGAGCTTGACACAAAGGGACTTGAATATGCACAGGATGTTTACTGAAAGCATGTTTGATCTGATTTGGATCCACTCATCTCTTACAGGGCAAAGCCTTCAATCTTATGGTGGCCATATTTCTGATAGATGTAGCTCTCATCAAGAAATTAATTGACTGAGGGAGCATCAAGTGAGTAAAGTGATCACTAAAAATGACAGTACATTAGGACTGATGACAGCCCAGCAAGGCAATTGGATGAGTTCAATTCTGGGAAATGCACCAATACAGAACCACAACAGAACCACTGAGGAGGCACTATGTTGGATTGTCTTTTACTCTGATTTACTGATTGCGCACCGCAGTTCCCAGTAATAATGTAATCACATGAATCGTTAATCAAGAAGTGAAAACCAGCCATTTAGCCTTTTAAATATGGATTGTGCTGCTGTGGAGAGTGTGGTATGCTGCATTGATCTTGCAGAGCAAAAAAAACTCCGACAGGTTGGTTTTATATAGTCACCATGTGTTACCAGCTTGACGTCCTAATAACTAAGTCATCAGTGCAACTATAAACCAATGCTATATTTACAACCACTCAGGTTTTCATGCGGCATTGATCATTGGGGCTCCAACCATCCACATTGCAGCCAGTGTGAGGCATAACAGGCCAGAGTGATATTGATGCATGGAGCAAAGCACGAAGAAGGGTTACATTCCTTTGATGAGCAGGCAGCCCAATAATTGCCAACAATACAGATGTTTTATAAGGACTTTATGTGACCAATTTAAGGCTCCCTTGGGATCCATGTCTCTCACTGGCTAATCCATGATGCTCTTTACGGTAATCCATTCAGATAACTCTTCTCTAGTGCCATCAATTAGGTATCCAAGTTGACGGAGCAGCTAACACTATACAGCTTGATAGGGCTAAAGCTTAAAGCTGCCATGACCTGGACAGAGAATGATCATCACAGTCAATCAATGACTCTGAATCCAATGGCAACTTTTATACTGATTTTATAGTGATGGAAGGATAAAAAATAGTGACACACTAACATAGAAACACATAGAAACACATAGACATTGGAAATCACAGTCGCTCCAAAGGCAACATACAATTCCATCACAAGGGGCATACACAACATCGTTTCCCACAGCGGAAAAAAACACTTGTCTTCTAAAAGAAGTTTGAGTTTAAAAATGATACCGAAAATAAATATGAAATAACTTAAAAGATTACTTAATGGAAAATTAATATTCTTCAAATTTTAGGGCCATTATTAATGGTAAACCTTAAATCTTGCAAAAAAAACATTCATCCTCATGAACAGGTGACACTCATCAGGCTGAAGCGAGTGAGTCAACTTTGTGTGGTTTGGTAAATCAGCTTCGGCACACTTGAATAAAGGAACCTCACAGAATAAAGAAAATGCTCCTGAATTTAGCCCAGTGTTTCTTAAAGTGGGCTGGACTTTTGCTCCATTAGTGCACATTGCACAAATCAGTGAAGTAAAAACACATATGTCTACAGGGAAACTAGGAAATATAGATCCCCTAAAAGAATATTGCTCTGGACACTCTTTTTGTTAAATAAAATAATTAAACTGGGAGTTTTGTGGTCCCTCTCCAGCTCTGGACCCACAGACTCAACTGCACTACCAGCAGCAGCAGCAGCAGCAGCAGCAGCACCAGCAGCACTACATCTTCAGTTTTAATGACAGTGGTTAAAACCTCGCCGCACTAGTCTTTCATTGGGTTGCCAAACTTTTTTGTTTGCAGAAGGCAATAATTAGTATGTATGGCTCGTTGTGCTCCTTATATTCATAATGTGGTCTTATATTCACACTCCAAGAATGTAGAAATATTTCTAGACAGTTCGACAAGAAACAGTTTGAAGAAAAATCCTATTGTCTGTATTTAAAAGGTAATGAGGGTTAAATCAAAGTCAGCACTGAAACACATATTTGATGTGTCCAATGGGGATTTGATGTGTTCATTTCTTTAAATGACTGACAAGAATATATACATAGGCTCATTGTCTTTTAACTTCTAGTTTAAATAAAAATACGAATTCTCATTTGAAACTGAAAATCATGTAAACATGAAAGCCAAAGACCTAGAACACAAACCCTTTAAAAGAAATATACCAAATAAAATACAATGAATAGAATTTCTTTGGTTAGTGATGACACTAAAACGTCAGATTCAATGACCATTAAAGTGCTTTTTGGGCGAGAGCATACACGGAAAGTCTTGTTGAAAGCTGATTTATTTAATGATACATGAACCACAAACGTCATGAATACACTGCAGTGTGAAAAGTTAAAAGTCTTTATTATTTGTACATTGCTTTGTTTCTACAGCATGATTATTATAAATATTAATCTCTAGGGCCCTTTCATTGTGAGGTTGCATCTTTCTGTTCATTTTTGTTTAATGGGAAATGGGACACTTTCTACGGAAGCTGAGAACAGCCATGGATTTTTCTTTTTTTATGCACTGTTATCACGTGATAACAACTTATTATCTTGTTATCTCGATATAACAAAGATTATTTTCTCGTTATAAAAAATTCATTTATTTCATTATCTCGATATAACAACAAACGTTTTCTCGTGATAACGAATTGAAGAGCTGCCACGAACGGCTTCCGTAGCCAACCGGTAAGTTACACTTTACGTTAGTTTGTTTACTTGACTGGAAGCCGTTCGTGGCAGCTCTTGTAGGTTGAAATCAAGACGAACACATTATTAATTAATTCGTTATCATGAGAAAAAAAACTTTGTTATATCGAGATAACAAGATAATAAGTCGTTATCACGATATAACAGTGCATAAAAAATAAAAAAATCCATGGCTGTTCTCGGCTTCTGTACTTTTCAAGTTAGAATTGTGTTTGTTTTTTTTGTTTAAAGACCAAAGGTTTATAGCTACACTAGCATCCCCATGATTATATTTCTCATTTCACACCAGTAAATAATGTTACAAGATAAAGAAATCTTTGAGGTTTTTAGATCAAAGGTGTAAAGATCTTTGCATCAATATAAAATCAACTTAAATCACCTACGTATGGTCTCAGCCTCAGACTGAGCTGTGCTTTAGATTTAGTGTTACATGCAAAGTGCAATGAAAAGTACTGAACAAGTAGAAATTCTTTACCACAGGTTATGAAAATGTATTTTGAGAAAGTGAGTCAATGATGATTAAAATTTTAAGGCTACGTCCCTTTTGTGAATACCTTTCTTATTACATGTAGCACTGATTGTCCTGTGTGACCATATTCTACACACAGTACACACATAAGCCAATGAAGTGCTCATTTGTTGTGCATATTTGTCCAAATGCATACCTAGTAACTCTTTGGCAGAAGGGTGATGATAAACTTATTGAACTGACTGAAATAATTGATACTTTGAATTATTCTTTGGTGCATTCTTCATTCATTCTGTTCATTCATTCATTCGTTATTGAGGAATTAAACTGTGGTGGTTTCTAATTATTTTGATAAGTCAAGTTTAGCCAGTCAATAAATAAACTAGAATAATTAGAGTCATTAGAGGAGGAAAATTTGAATTTTTACCAGAATAATAATTATGAAAAAACTAGGAAAAAAATAGACATTTATTGACATTTACAGACATTTCATTGTAAATTGTCTCACAAAGGTTTTATAAATAAAAAATACAAGCACTAGCTTTTTATAAGACTCCACACTAACTTCTAAATACCTAGAATAAACATTTTTGATTCCGATGCTAACATGCTAATTTAAATGAAAAAGCAGAGCTTGAAACAAGGAAACTTGGACACAACATTAATCCACAGAGTGATATACAGACTGTCCACTGACTGTCAGGATGACATGTCCTTTGAGGCACTGTACTTGTCATGTGTATTGACCAGAAGATTAGCGATGGATTCTCTGTGATCCTCTTAGAGGGTGTTTGCTCATGCAGAGCTGCAGTTGACTCAAGCTACAAGCAACTGTACAAATAACTGCACTTACCTCTGTAATCTAGGTTGAAGTCCTCAGTGTGAGAGAGCATCCCTGGTGTCCTCCAGCAGTGCAGATGTTCACGATTTCTCTTTTTGAACTCTGAGGAAAAAAGAAAAAAATAGAGATAGCTGTTAATATGTAATTCCCTATCAAGAGTTGTTTGTTTTGGAGCAACTTGCTACAAGGATTTTGTATGTTGACCGGCATGTCAAGTACTTCATATTTTCATCTAACAAGCACAAATTTAAGTCAACATATTAAATCCAAAAATGTGGCATGTAATAAAAAGCTGCTTCTTGAGAGGATAACCTCCTTTTGGCATTGCGGTGTCCGAAATGAATTCAGCAGCATGAATGTTCTTTTTTTCTCTCCTTTTTTTTCAAGAATCGGAACCACCTCATTAACCTTATCTAACAAGCACAAGCTAATGAAATCCTCTGTTTCAGTTTCCGGTCTTGCCAAAGTTAGTTTTACTAATTAATCAAACATCAGTTCCCCCCCTATCATCTTAATGACTCTCCGTAAAGTGAATGAGAATGTGGTGCACATACCGCCCAGGGGGAGGCTGCTTGCGCACATCTTCATGCATTTTTATTGGAAGTTAAAATAAAGAGAAAGAGAAGCTTTGTACTAAAGAGAGATGGATGTTTTGTATTCACTGCAATAAGCAAAATAGAAATGACACATGATTTTTTCATCTTTTATCCATGCTCCATCCCTGCTTTTATGATTCTGTTTACCGAGTCTCTTCAGCAATGCAGCGATGCAAAGCTGCAATTTTCACACCTACATACATATTAATATCTGCATGAGACAAGCTCCAGATTGCTGTACAATCAGTATTCATATTACTCCTCTTGCTCTAATGAAACAATTCCGTGTTCTCATCCCTTGTGATTCAGAGTGTATGACATGCTATATCAGATAAAAAGCACAGGCAAAATTCAATCTCCAACAATCAGTAATGGAAATCTGCAAAATAGCTAGATTTTCAGTAAATGAGAGGACAATAGATAATGCAATTCAATTAGCCGCTAAGGCTGCTATTTGCATTCCAGTGAAAGGGGTGATAGTTTAAGTGGCCCAAGGCAGCTGCCTTTCAGCAAAGGCCCGTGACAACACAAAAAGCAGCGGAACCAAGAGAAAAGGGGAGTTTGGGAGTCTTCAGCAGTATTCTTTTAATTACTCGTCATAATGACTCCATTTAGCTGTTCAATGACCCATTTTATGGCATTGAACAGGCATGGGAAGCTCTCTGTCCTTGGCAGGGTCAGTCCTGCAGCTGCCCCTGCTTGCCATGCTTCAACCAAGAGGGAACTTTTTTTCTTCCCCCAACCAGGTTGCTCAAGAATTTTTCTCAAAACACGTCCACACATGTTCGCAGTGGCACCGGAAATGAACCACAAATGAAATATGGACTCAACATCACTCCATATGTGAATTAAATTCAAAGAAGAGCTCATTATATGGAAGAAAATTAGTTTTCCCTATGAATGTTGTTTATTGTTCATCAGATAAAGATGGGTTTGTCACGTTGGCACCCACCATGAAGTTGGCACAGAAACTAGGTATGCTGGTAATGTCAGTCCAGCATCATATAAGATAAACAGTGTGTCCTACATGTATGGCAAGGTGTTAGGAACCGTTATGGTGCTTGACTACAATAGCAGCTGTGCTTTTCTTACAATTTTAAATGTAACTCTGTGAATCAGGTTAACAGCTAAATTAATTTACACATAAACCAACCCTAGAAATTACATCTAACCCGGTCTGTGGTTGAGGTTGATGACTATAGTGATACTTTAGTAGTAAAATGGTTTTGGTAAATGTTAATAACATGTTGTGTCTCATGCTTCAAGTCAAATATTAAATCAAAATAATCAAAATATCAAAAAAATATTAACATTTTTGCAACTTGCCAGATGTGTTAATTAGCAACATTTCCTCATTATGTTGATAGAAAACATTATCTGCTCTTCATTACATTTCCTTGAAAACATATTTTATATTGCAAATTGGCTGTATATGAATGTAATTTCTAGGAGAGAGGAATGCATAGGTAACTCTTCAACTCTTTCAATTAATGTTGCACTGAAGTCTGCAGTCTGTATCTCTTGTATTGTGATGAAGAATCTGTACTTTGAGACCTTGCATCATGCTAAGGGCTTTAATTTTTATAAGCTGTTGGGCATGAGAAGAAAGAGAAAAAGTAATTTGATGAAAACACATGCCAAATTCATTCAAGATGTAGCCAAGTAAATACAAAAATAGGGTTTAGAGAGATCTGCAGCTGCAATAACAATTTTTCAAAATTGGCTTCATTCATTTTAAGTGTGGGCTGGTAATAGAGCTGTATAGAGTATATCCAAACCAGTCATATAGTGAAAACCACAAGCTGTACTCCTCAGTACACTCACAGGTCACAGTTACATAAAGGTACAACAGTGTACACTGCAGTTTTGATGATAACATTTATTTGCCTGTTTCTACCATATGTATAGCTTTGTAGATTTGAAAAAAAATTTAACATTAAGTCTATTGTTATGTGAATTTACCTCATTCAAATAATTATAATACGACAAGCTATCCCCTTTTCTCGTTACACTAGAAACAGTAGCTTCATTCACATAAGAATAGCCAGTTTTTTTTGTGATAATCTATAAGCCCTTTTCAGTGAAGTATTGATTGTTTTTATATGGTGAAGTGGAGCACTATTAATCCATCATGTTCTCTCGCTTACGGTTTCATCTTTTGTGTTGCTTTTGATAAGACATGATGTATGTGAGGATGGGTCAGGGTGCAGCCCTGGTGGAAGGGGTGCAGGAACGCAAGAGTAAGGTGGTGAGGAGAAATAGACCCCATATGGTCTTGAGGAGCTGGAATTTCTGGCACATCTCCAGGATGCTGACCCAGAGCATTGAAAGGTTGAGCACTGGCTCCGATCTGACTGATTCTGCTCAGCTGCTGACGTGCAGAGAAGTGCACATGGATATGAGGACAAAAATAGCATGCTGTGATCCACAGCTTGATGCAACTATTCAGAATTTAAATTACTGCCAATTTAGTCTGTCCCATCTCAACTTTCTATGAGAGGACCAGTGTCAATATTTAGTCATTGTGCATAAAGGATGTTTCAGTTAATTTAATTTGTGCTATTGCTGTTTTAATTTGATGCTTTAGAAAGGGGGGTTAAGAAATCAACCAGTAAGGTTCATTGTCCCATTCCCCTCCTGTTGTACCATATGAAAGTTCCAGCAGCATAAACACAACAAAACTGAACACTGAAGTGTGTTTCTGTTGAATCTATTATATTAGGTATGAATGTACTCTGTACAATGTCTTGTACTCTTGAGCTCTGATCATGTTAATCAATGCACCTCATGCACACATGTACATTTAAATTATCTTCTGGAAAGGGAAGCAGTCACAAATTAGTTTGTTTTTTTCAGAAGGATAGAACATTTTGAGCCCAGCTTTGAGGAAACAATTTTGAAAATGAAAGAGGTTTAAAAAAGAGGGAGCAACTTTGAAGCGGATGCAAAGTGTTTAGATAAAGACCTAACCCCACTTCTCCCTCTACTTGTAGTGGGATTCATTTTAAGTTTTGAACTCCTGGGTGCACACAGTGGGCATCAGGTGTTACCAACAACCAACAGCAATTTAGGAAAAAAGTGTCCATAAAACTGTATTGACCTTGGTGCCATGCGATATGTTATGCTCTACACAGCTTTCTGTGGTGTACAGCTTTAAAATTTATCTAAATTAAAATCACTCTATTTTGTACATGTTAGACAAAAGAAAGCATTGATCATATTGATTGTGGTGACTTGCATAATATGGAGAATGTGCTCTACACTGATGTCAAAACACATAATTCGATTTGATTTCTTATCTCTGTCTTTCAGGATTATAAAATCATGTTATGTAAGCGGACAATAAGGTGACAGGCTTATATTATCTGGCAATATTAACTTTTACTGACCAGTGGCAACGCATAACTATGTTTTCATTAGTGTATAATCACCTGAATATAGGAATCGTTTTTGTTATTTTACATCTACAGATCTTGCGTGTTGCCTTCCATGGAGTCCGCCATGTTGAACCGCCATGTTTCTACAGTAGTCCAGAAGGGAGAAACTAAACTAAACTGACTCTAGATAGAAGCATTTGCAATTTTTGCACATCGCGGCCTCTGTGGTTTCACTTTCATACTCAGAAGGGCAGGGTGAAACATTGGAGTTTAAATCTGCAACTACACCGCTAGATGCCACCATATCCTACACACTGGACCTTTGTGGTGACAGAAGACTAAACTGTGCACATGATTTGCTCCTTGCCTGGTACATTTGAGTCAGAGTTGTTTTAAATAAGACAATTTCTGATTCTGACAGGATGAAAAGGTTTAGGCGGTGAAGACATCTCCTGTTATGTACTTCACGGATCCTGAGCTGCCAATCAAGGAGTGCCTCACTTTGCAGCACTTAAAAGCGTGGCAGCTGGGGTGGAGGAGGGTGTATGAGAGCATAACAAATCTTTGTAGCACAGTCACAAGCAACATACTGCACAGAGTGAGCAGGAAACCGGCTAAAAGTAACTCTACTCTTTGAAATGTCCACTCTGATGTAGAGAGAGAGTGTGTGATAGGAGGTGTCTCATGAACGCTGCCGAGTTGGTCAATTTTGTAAGTTTGCCGACTCAGTCTGTTTTTGTGTAGATTTTTTTAAAGTCTCACAGTGACAGGAATCACAATGGGTTGTGTTATATGATCTAAATTCAGATTAATGCAGCAGCCAGGCTTTCCAACTGACCATGAAATAACTGGTAAAGTTATTAGATTTACATATTATTTTCTAATACTCAATGTTCTTGATTTTACATCTGAGTGACTCAGTCTCAGTTAAGCCTAAAGGAATGGAAGTGGAGAGCATCTAGTTTCCCCTATGGAGAATAAGGGAGTATGTGCTGCCTGTTGAACCCATAAACAAGACCCTTAAGCAAAGCAACATACACACACAAATGCACAGGCACACACACACACACACACACACACACACACACACACACACACAAGAATACTTCCAAACACTTCCCTGTGTGCA